AAATGAAGCTCAGCGTGAGAAGAATGTAACTCCTGAATGCTTCAACACGCAGTCATCAGTGAGGCTCTAATGAAAGCAGAGAAGAGGAGGAACCATGTTCTAAAGCTACATTCACTGTCAGCATGACTGAAATACAGCAAATCATACATAAACTGCTGAGGACACAGAAAAAACACACACCTTCCTCAGATAAAAGACAACTTTTTTTTTTTTTTTTTACTTAAAAGACAACTTTTTTTTTTTTTTTTTACTTTTTAAAGCATTTACATCTAAACAAGATGTAAACAAAGTGCAGCTGGATCGAAAAGTTCCCACTTACTTTAGAAGAACAAAATGCCGTCCTTCAGAAAGAAAATCTGATTCCACTGAGTCCAAAGAAGCATTATCACTCACTGTTATCATACATGTCCTCATCAGAAATATCAGTCTGTTCTCCTGAGAAACTCCACCACCTCCCCACAGCTAGATCGGCTCTTTTCTGCACTTTTTGCTATTTTTAGTTGGAAAAAGACTCTAAACAGTCTCTAGTTCTTTTCTGCACACACATGTGAAGGTTGCAATGTTTAGGAGTGGATTTCCTTCAGTCGTTGAAGAACCTACCCACTCATGCTGCACGTTGCCATGATAGGAGTTTGATTGGCGATCAGCCTGTAGCGTGAGAATCAGAGTCCAGGGTGATAAGGTCGGACCTGTGTGCAAAAGAGTCGAGGTGTGTCTGCTCAGATGACATGAAGCTCCATGGATATCTGACAGTCTGTCAACAGATGGGTCCAACTGGTCAGAAAAGGTGCCAATCAAAAGGGCCTTCACAGCCATTCTGACTCCCTGGTGTTTAAACGTGAAATCCCAGCAGAATGTACGAAGCTCTGGACTCAAATGTGCATCCAAATTATAGAATTGCGCCGCTCCAGGTGTCTGCATGTTGGAGCAGCTCTTTTACTTTCATTTTGAGATTTTGCTTTTGGAAACATTAATTCCTCTTTTTCTGGATGTAAATCACATTTTTTGGATGATTGTTTCCTCTGGTATCGGACGCTGTGCAGCCAGAAGGATTTTTACTGAAACTTTTTTAGTTTTGGACATTTGTTATGATGCGTAACCATGGCAATAAGGCAGTTTTCTACAACCAACAGCAGCTGATTAACATCTCAAAAGCTCAAGTAATATCTCAACTACAGCCCCAAATCTCAAGTGAGTTGAATTGATGTTCTGTGGATGCATTCTCATCTACCTGCCAGCTGTGCTCGAGTGCCTGACCACTGAGATCCTGGAACTAGCAGAAACACGGCTCATGACAGCAGAAGGACAGGATCGTCCCTCAGCACCTACAGTTTGCTGTCCGCAGCGATGAGGAGCTCGACAGTCTGCTGGGAAGAGTGGCCATCACTCTGGGAGTTCTGTCCAGCATTCGGGCGGTTCTACAGCCCGAGGGGAACCGAGAGGCCAGCTGAGTCTGGGTGGACGGATCGGACGGCATCTGCAGCCAGTTTCTTAGGATCCACTGTGGGATGGACATTTACAAGAGATCCTTCCTGTCTACAGCCATCAGTATCTATAACATCTCTTAATGAAATGAGGATCACGAGTTACAACAACAAATAATTTCCCTCTGGGATTAATAAAGTATTTTTGACTTGAATTTATTTTTTTAAATGGCACATGGGCGCTCATTAAGGGACTTAACGTTCAGAAATGAATTAACAGAAGTAGAACAACATCTCAGTCAACTCCTCTCAAGAATGTTGCAACAGCTAAACAAACTCTGCAAACACAAAAATAATTAGAACTCAGCTAAATTTACAGATAATGAGCTAAAATCTAGTGTGGTAGTTGTCAAACGTTATCCCCATCACATACTCAGAGTGAGCAAAATCTTTGTTTTACACTTTGCATTTTAGTGCTAGAGTCAACTTTGTCTTTCTGTTAGCAAAATATCTCTGCTTGGCCATTAATAAAAACATATATTTAATACCAGAATGTAGTATTCTGTTGTGTTGCTGCAGCTATTTGCAGTTATAAACCTTATGCACAGCTCATGATGAGGCGCTACAGTCAGTCCACTTCAGAGAGCAGCGAGACCAAACATCCAACTGTAGACAGATGTGCACCATTCATGACAATATGTGAGGACATCTCAGAATAAGTAGTTTCACACAACGGTTGTGGCTGAGTGGTTAGAGCAGTCGTCCTCCAATGCAAGAGTTGGGGGTTCGAATCCACCAGCAGTCACATGCCGAAGTGTCCCTGGGCCTGACACTGAACCCCTCATCGCCTCTGATGTGTGTCCCATCAGTGTATGAATGTGATTAGCTCTGATTAGTCTCATTAGAATGATTTGTTCCATTAGCTTTGTAGAGATCTAGTAGAGTGCTCTATGAATGGGTAAATGAGGCACAGATTGTGTTGTAAAGATCTTTGAGTATCTCGATAAGACAGAAAGGCGCTATACAAGTACAATCCATTTACAACACTGCGCAGTGGAACTTCAGCACAAAAACATAAAAAAGTGTCAAATCAAATATGACGAACTGTGAGCGAATCAAAAAATAAAATAAAATACAATAATTTTACACTATCCTTATTATATATGTTGAAAATTCACCAAAATCCATAAAATACACCACATAAGATCACATGTGTCCATACCCGCTCACACACACACACACACACACATCATATTCACGTTAGTCAATCATAGGCCTGTCACGATAACATATTTTGCTGGGCGATTGTCTCAGAAATTATTGCGATAAACAATAATATTGTTTGAAATTTGACAATAATTTGTAATTATTGTCAAATTTAAAAAGAAATGTTGGTTAATTTGTTTTGAGTGCAGTACCTTTTTACACCACAGGATGGCAGTATAAGACAGTTTGAACCGAAGGATGGATAGTGAGGGAGCGAGCAGCGTGTCTCTTTAAGAAAATGGGAGCGAGGCCCCTTGACGTGACATGGGCTGTCTCTCCTTCCTGTTTTTCGGTTCTCAAAATGGCGGATGCTCTGTGTGGTTTGAGCTCTTTAGCATAGCATTTTTCACACAAAGCTTTTAATTTTAAAAAATCAGTAAACAAGTTATCAGCTTCTTTTTTTGCAGAAAAAAAAAAGTTTTACACGAAGGCACGGGTTTCAACCGTAAATTTTGGAGCTTTGACAAGCTGTTAGTTTAGCTTGTAGCTTAGCTTCTCAGCTTAGCTGCTTTAAACAATTCAAAAACATGATTTTGGACGTTTAAAATGGATTTTAAAGCGAAAAGAGAAAGGGGGGGGGGGGGTCTGTTAAGAGTTGAGCCTATTGTCATCCAGTGTCCAGTAGAAAGAGACACAAAGAAACAATAAAGCTGATAAATGAAAATAAGGTTGATAATTTTCACTTATCATGCGATTAATTGATTTATTGTTTATTGCGAAAGGCCTAGTCAATCAAGCTTCATTTCTATAGCACCTTTCATACAAATCAAATGTAATTCAAAGTGATTTACAGCAGAAAACAGTCAATATGGTGCGAGAACTGAAATTTTCATCATGTAACCACGTTCAGAAGAACAAAGTTCTGATGTCTGATGCACACCACCTTTTAGTATTCAACATTTCTGCAGGGAATTTCAGGCTTTTTCTCAAGACACCTCAAGACGGGACTTAGACGGACTGAAGACTTCTGGTCTCCTCAGAGTGAATTCTGCACGGGCTGAGGCAGCAAGGAGGGTCAAAGCCAACCCACCCCTGATCCTCCTTTGTGCCGTGAAGCAACGTAGAACCAGCGTTAAAACGATCAACATGTGAAAAGTAAGCCGGTGCTGCAGCTCAGTGATGTGATGAATTGACGACGTCTGGTCCGTGTGACCACCCGTTGGCAGGATTAAACGACAGGTTTATTACTAAAGGATGATTAATGATGACACACAGGAAGCTCATATTTCATTTAAAAAATCTGGTTAAGCACAAAGAGGACGACTAAACTGAGCTAATTCATCATCATTTGAAGACGATACAAGAGAGACGTCCGTCACACATTTAATACGCTCTGCTTCACAGCTCTCCTGGTCCTGTGACGCTCGCTTCATTTGTGGAGGCTCAGGTCTCTGCAGGACGGCTCCATCAGTGATTAATGAACGTCCAGAGGCAGCATCGAGACGACCGGACTGTGCTGCCAAGTCAAAGACCTGTTGCATGAAACAGCTTCTAGTTAAGTGTTCTTATCAAACCAGGGAAATAAAACTCGTGTTTCAGTTCCAGTGGTTGTGTGTCACTGAACACGTGTGTGTTGTGTCACAGACAAACGTTCTCCTGTCAGTCATACACATCTGCATAAACCTTAATACTCTGACATGTCCTGCTTGTCTCGTCTGAACGTCCAGGAGGACCACTGGTCCCCCCCCCCCCACACACACACACAGTCCTCCACCATTCAAGCTGCAGAACAGTCTCCTGAGATCAGAAGCGCGGACAACAAGATTTCTGCATGAACGAACCACTGAGTCACGTGGGATCAAAGCAGGTGCTCAAACCACCTGGAGAGCAAGGTAACAATGGAACCATCCTTAAAACTACCCCCCCCCCCCCCCACACACACACACACACACACACACACGCGTGCGACATGGAATCAGCAGAAAGGTTCTGTTTGACGTGTGTCTGATAAAACCCAGACCACCAGTCAGTTCTGCCTGTCTGGATGCAGGAAATAGACGGAGCCTCTCTGAACCATCATTCGGCTTTAAAGGAGAGCTGCAGCAATTAGACTGAGGCAGACAAGCCCCACAAAGCTTCTGCTTAACAAAGCTCGGCACCAGAACGACTTCTAGCTCCATTCATCATGACATCTCTGAGCAGAACCACGAGGAACCGGTCAGGTCCTCCTGGTTCCTGATGACTCCTGCTGTTTGTTTGCAATGAACACCCAACTTTAACACCAGAACCTCCTGTGTGGGTCAAAGATCTGCTCACACTTCTGACCCTTCAGAGGGGGGGGGGAACCAGCCCACACAAAAGCATCAGTACCTCCTGGTCCTCCATGTCCTGCTCCTGGCTGTCTGAGGGCTCCAGAGCCCGCAGGAACCACCACTGGATCTCCAGGTACACGGAGGCAGTCCCACTCTGGAAGGCACACGCCATCTGGATGTTCTGCCCCTCCTTCACCGTCATGTTGGAGGGCAGCTCTGTGAAGCCACCTGGGGGGGGAGAGGGGGGGTTAAACAGTGCTGCTGGATGAAAACACACAGACACACTCCTCCTCTGTCTGTAGGATGGTCTGGATTATTGGACATGATATAGACCCCCCCCCCCCCCCCCATACTGACTGACCGAGTTCACACGACATTAATTTTGAGTGACTCTGTGGTCTTTTAGCTGTGGTTCGGCTGTTCCTGTCCATGACAACAGCTCCCGTTTCCTCTAAAACCAAAGGTTTCTGAATCCTGGTCGAGTGGAGCAGGGGAGCGTGCCCCTCCCCACAGAGGTATGAACTCACTAGGTGACCCCCCCCCCCCCAACCCCCCAGCTGCAGCCAGAGGTGGACCGGCAGATTAGTTAACATTAGTTGATAGTAAAGTTTTGTTGGCACTGCTCGATCCAAACCGAGGTTCCTGTACTCACCTGATGGATGGAACTGTTTTAATTCTCATCACTGGGTCTCCTGAAGACCAGCATCAGTGTTGCCAGATAAACGCTAACTTTTATGTCCACCTTCTTTCCTGTACACATGCACAGTACACCCCCCCCCCCCCCCCCCCCCCCCACCACCACCAAAAACAAACAAACAAACAAACAAAAAGCCAGCACATGTGATTGTTTAGGTCAAAATACAGTAACTTTAAACTGACATATTCTTCATTTGCTATCTGGCAACCCTGCCTGGCAGTCATGTAAACGAGGTTTTTATGTTGGGGGGGGGGGGGGGGGGTCAGGTTTTACCTCAATACTGGACCCGAAATGATAAAAAGTGAACCGGTTTGGTCTGTGCGCGCGTGAGCTTTCAGCACGCGCACATCATCGGGCTCAGATCGGTTCGGTTCTGACAAACAGCTGACACCTGTTCGTTACCTCATGTCAGCATCAGACATGGGATCGAACCGGTTCTGTCTCTGCGCACTTTATGGGGGAGGGGAGGAGAACCCCCCCTCCCCCCCCAACCCACCCCCCATCACACTGACGGTTCGGAACCACGCGCCTCTTACCTTCAAAGGAGAAGCCGAGCTGAGCCCAGAACCCGAACAGGAGGAGCAGTCCAACGGTGTCATGACAGGTCCGCATAGTTCCAGCTCAGAGGAGGGAGGGGGGGTCTTAGTTCACATGAGACGGAGGACTGGACCAGGTTTACCCCCCAGGAAGAAGAGAAAGCCGAGCGGAGGCACTCAGACGGTCTGTGAGGGAGCAGGTCTACAGGAGGTCCTCCTCACGGGGGGAGACATGTTGCTCAACTTGTCCTCCTCCTCTGCTCCGTGGCTCTGATGGAGCTTATTTGAATGGAGGGACCAACAGAGTTGCAGTCTCCTCCTCCTCCCTCTTCTCCTACTGCGCCTCCAGAGCACGCCACTCAGCCCCCCCCCCCCCCCCCCCACACACACACACACACACACACACCTCTTCTTATCCATCCCCTCACCACCCAGATTCACTTTAAACAGAAAAGCAAAACAACAATCTTCAAGGATTCAAGGTTCTTTACTGTCATTCACACCACGTGGTACATGAGGTGGAACAAAGTTATGTACACAGTCCCAGTTACATCCAACAATAGCAAAATATAAAGTGTAAAAAGAAACAGTAAATAAGGATCTACGATACAAACTAAGATATACGCTAAACGAACGCCCAACTGTACGCTAAAAGATCTAAGATATACACCAGTCACTAATGGTGTAAACCAATACATCGAACAACAGCAGCACAAACATGAGTCTGTGTGAGCAGAAGAGTACGAATGAACACAGCATGGAATAAATCATCATTATGAGATCAGCAGCATGGATGGTCAGCAGCACATATCAACAATCAAGCAGCACAGTGTTTTTTTTCCACAGTGATTATTCTGCTTAGAGATTCATGAGTCTAACAGCCTCAGGGTAGAAGCTGTTCCTCAGTCTAGTGGTTCTACATTGGGGGTGGCTGTGGCTGAGTGGTTAGAGCAGTCCTCCTCCAATGCGAGAGTTGGGGGTTCAAATCCACCAGCAGTCACATGTCGAAGTGTCCCTGGGCAAGACACTGAACCCCTCATAGCCATGTGTGTCCCATCAGTGTTTGAATGTGACCTAAAGCTCTGATTAGTTTCTTTAGAATTATTTGTTCCATTAGCTTTGTAGAGATCTAGTATAGAGCTGTGTGAATGGGTAAATGAGGCACAGATTGTTGTAAAGAGCTTTGAGCATCTTGAAATAAGATAGAAAGGCGTGGGTCGCTGGCCGGGCCTGTGGGCTCGTCGCTGCAGCTTCCTGGAGGCTCTGCATTGTGGTGGCTGGGGTCACCCGGTTCTTTCCTCTGCTCCTCTCTGGGGGGGGGGTGCGGTTCTCCCTGTTGGGAGACTCTTGGGGCTCCGGGCCTGTGGGCCGCTGTGTGTCTGTGGCTCCGGTCCTCCCTCTGTTGCCATTGTGTTCTGGGGGGGCGGGTCTGTGGGCCCCCGCGTCCACTATTGGGCATTCTTTTGGAGAAATCTGGTGGTGGTGGGCGTGCTTGCGCGGGTGTTTGGATTCAGGTGCTTTGACAGATGCACGCTAGGTTGGGTAGTGGTGGAAGCTAGATGATTCCTTGTGCGATGTCGAATGTTTCATGGTGATATTGTGGGTGGCATTGTGCTGTGCATGTTGTTTTGTCATGGTGGTCTCTCGTTTTATCTTCTTCTCTTTTATTATTTATTTATTCTTCTTTCTTCTCTTTCTTTAAAAAAAATAAAATAAAATTGAGCGATGATGATAAGTTCATTGAAACACTTCACAATGTTTCTACACTTAAACTGACCTAAAAAAAAATAAATAAATAAAAATAAAAATAAAAGATAGAAAGGCGCTATATAAGTACAGTCCATTTACCATTTACACTTAATGCTCCTCAACCTCCTTCCTGAGGGGAGCGGGGCAAAAAAGTGTGTGCTGGGTGAGTGGGGTCCTTCATGGTGCAAGTGGCCTAATTCCTGCATCTGGAGGTGTAGATGTCTGTGATGGTGGGGAGACTGACTTCAACTTCTTCTGTGCAGCCTTCACCACTCTCTGCAAAGCTTTTCTTTCTGCAGCTGTGCAGCCTCCATGTTGATGCTGGAGCACAGGATGCTCTCCACTGCACACCTGTAGAAGGAGGTGAGGACTGAGCTTCTCAGACCAGCTCATCTCAGTTGCCTGAGGAAGTAGAGTCTCTGATGAGCTTTCTTGATCAGGCTGGTGGTGTTGTTGCTCCAGGTTGTCATTCATGTGCACATCTAAGTACTTGTAGCTGGAGACCACTTCCACCGCAGATCCTCCTATGTTCGGGGGGTGGTGGTGGTGGGGGGTGGGGGGTGGGGGGCTGGTGTGTTTGTTCCGACTGAAGTCCACGACCATCTCCTTCATCTTCTTCACATTGATGTGAAGGTTGTTCTTCCGTGTCAGTTTTGCTGCAGTAAAACACTGACTTGTAACCAGTCAAGAAACACCATCTGTCCTGCCTGTACAATAGCCATTAGACAGTGAAACTACACTTTAGCTGCTTCCCCGCCAGCATCCATTTTGTCAGCTTGAGCACACTCCGGGAGGTCTGCTGAGTGCAACAGAGTGCATCAAAATATAATTAACTCCTTTTTCTGGGGTGATGATGCACGCTGTAATTAATTGCCTTTGCACTCAGCAATGTTCATTAATGTGACTGCCATGATAATAATGCATTCACCCAAAACTGGAATGTCTTGTTCTGTTCTAAACATTTCACAGCTCCTCTCTGGGTGTTAGGAGCTGCTCACACGACCCTCTGAGTCCCCACTGACATCTAAGCAGTGTCTGTAATGTTGCCAGGCTGAATTCACTGTCTTTTTTAGTTTATTTCCAATATTGAGATGGTGGAGGCTTCACGCGTTTAACCATGGTCACCATCAGCCTTTCAGTGAAGTGTAACATCTCTCCTGAGGCAGCATGATCTGAGCGCTGTGAAAGCTTCAGGAAAACCTCAATTGTCTCTGTGTCTTTGATGCAGACTAAATGTCATGGATCAAAGAGGCTGAGTGGGCTGTGATACACAGTAAGAACCAATCGACTCTCTGCCGCACTTCATGTGCCCTTCTGAGGAAATGTTACATACACACATACACACATACATGCATACATACATACATACATACATACATGCATACACACACACATACATACATACATACATACATACATACATACATACATACATACATACATACATACATACTTACATACATGCATGCATACATACATACATATGTGTGTGTTTGTTTATTTCATTTTTTCCTTTATTTGACTTAATTTGAGTTGTGTGTTTTCATAATTCTCTGGATGTCCTGACTTATATCTAGTTAGGGTATCCACAGGTTTGTAGTGCTTCCTTCATGTATCTGTGGTCCTTGTCCTTCCCTTCTGTCCTTGTGGAGACCTGTTTGGTTCGATACTGTAGAGGTCTGATAATTGACGTTTAGTGTTCCAGGGATGAAGATGAATGAGCAGTATTTGTTCTGAATGTGCAGATTTCCTGGAGACGTCACTGTTGAGGCTTCTATCCCATTCAGTGTGTACTGTCTCTTTTTCATGAGCCTTGATGTAAAATAATATTTTACTGACTGCTCAAGACTATTCTCTTTCAAATATAAAATTCAGCATTTGAAATATTTTAATGAAGCAGCTTCAAGCAAATCTTTATTTGAGCCTGGTCTTATCAGTCAGAAAACTCAAGTAGGTATCTCTGCAGACAAATTCGGAAGGCGTATCTGGAAGACCACATCTGATTGGACGATAAAACAATGGGCGTATCTGGAGGATCACAGATGATTGGACGATATAAAAATGGGCATGTCTGGAGGTCCACATTTGATTGGACCAAAAAAAAAGGCTGAATCTAAAAAAAAAAAGCTGTTTGTGTTAACCTCAGTCATATTATGTCATCAGTGGCGTCTCCATAACTTCTCTTTCCGCCTCTCTTAACACAGAACTTCCGGTTACATTTCAAAATAAGAGCAACATAAATGTGGGGAGGGCTAAATGTTTATTTTTTAATACCTAGCCATTACATTAAAAAAAACAAAATCTATTTTGGTTTTTGAATAATGTGAAAATAGTTACATTCGATTCATAAAGAAAGAAAAATAAAGTAACCAAAATAATAATGTTTCTTAAACTGGCTTTGGGACAAAGGATGTTTCCTTTAACTTCACATTTTCTTGTTCAACTTTTAAATCAGTCACTGCAGATGAGTGATCGTCAGTTTCTGTCAGATTTCTGCAACTGGAGCAGGTATTTCTGTTTACTGGTTAACTTCCAGCTGTCTCACATTTTAAGGGTCAATCCTACTCCATGTTTCAGCTCCTTTCATACATCAGATCTCATAGAAGAACTTCTAAAGAGCAAATGTTGTTTTTAGTGTTTGTTTTGGACCGTTATCTCGTTACAGGACTCATGTTCTTTAATTGAGACCAGACTTTTGGACAAATGGGAGCAGGTTTCGCTTCAGACGCTTCATATTTCATTGTACCCAGACCATACTCAAGCCAGCCTGTGTCAGGTGCAGCTACAACCAAGAACAAAAGAGAATCTTCTTGTGTTTGACAGCAGATATAGCGTTGTTTCTTAGAAACCTTCAGTTTAAAAAAAGAACTGAAGTAACTTACCTAAAGAGTCAGTAAATACAGCTGCCAATCAGTGTTTGCCCTCTAGAAACACCTGTTCTCCAGAAACACCCACTTTTGGTCTGCAGAGAACCCCTTCTCAGAAAACTACCTCCAAAAGATGGATAGCCTTTAGAGTCAACCCAGTATTGGTGACACAAAACAGCTTAAAGTCTGGTTAACCTGTTTCTGCTGATGCTTATTTGATAAATACAATTTCCTCTTCTGCAGTGCTGAAAAACAACCTGACAGAACCAATTCCTTGTTTCAAACCTAAGATTTTATTGAATCAATTTCTGCATGAGTAAAACCTAAATAAAATCTCCAATCAAACAACATTCTTTCGATTTTGGAAAATCCCTTATTTTGCCTGAGATTAGTCAAGAAAATGTTTTGTTTTATATTGTATTGGTAAATCAACAATTCAATAAATCATCTAGTCATTTCC